CATCGGCATTAGGGCTTTCCAGACTATTTTCCAGTAACTGCAGCAACAAATTAAATAGCATCTATCATTTAGTGTCTTGGAAGGCTCCACGCCACCAGACAGAAAACAGACCATGGGAGGATGTGGAGCTGCCTCTTCGTTGTGCATGGTACACAGATCCTTTGCACTGCCTGAGCTTTCTGGAAGCGATGGACCAAAAAAAACGCCAACTCAATATACAGAGCAGCACTGTGGGACCGACTGCCTGGGGCCAGGCACAGCTCAGGGCAGGGCTGTCCCCAGACCTTGTCTCCATCTGCAAAGCCCCCAGCGTGCACACCTGGAGCACTCTCCACACGTGCCACCTCTCACTGTGGCATTTTCCTCATTCATGCTGAGATCTACTAAAGAATTGGGGAAATATTTTTGTTGTGGTTGGTTTTAAGTGTGGAAGAGTAAAGTGAATTTTGGCTTGTGATTATGGAAATTTGGGTAAGGGTTACCAGGAGTTTCCAATCCTGTCAAGTGTGATGAGAAAGGAGGCCTGTGAAAGCTGTTCAGCAGCATGCCAGAGAATAGCAAGACATTATTTACAGTATGTGTTTTTAACACGACTTGAAATTCATAAACAATAATACTGATAGCTCAGCTGTGCTTCTTCACAGCATTCCATCCTAAACAGGAGATTCGTACAATTTGTGCTGTCATCAGAGTTGATTGGGACCTTTTGGGTGAAACATTTTATTTGGCAGAGCCATCCCTCTTCACAGAAGTGGTAGAAGAATCACAGAACTGTTTGGGTGGGAAGGGACCTTCAAAGATCATCTGGTCCAACCCCTCTGCCATGGGCTGGGACATCTTGCACTAGATTGGGTTGTTTAAAGCCCAAATGAATTCAACCTTGAACACTTTAACTGATGAGACATTTGCAGCTTCTCTGGGCAACCTGTGTCTTGTTTAATCTCCTGTCAGGAGATTTCTCATGTCAACACTGGAAGCAAAGCCCAAAGCAAAACCCCCAAAATGCAGAAGAGGAAGGACATCTCTCAAGTCCTAGCCTGGTGAATGAGCCTCTGTCTATTCTGGGACAGTCCCTGTTTGGCTCTGGTTTTCTGTCAGGCTCTCTGTCTTTGCTTTCTTCAATTATGTTTCTCTATTAACCTTTTCCAGGCATTTTGCTTTTGTTCCGCATCAAAACAACACAGATCCCATAGCATTCCTCAAAGGACGCAACTCCCGTTTGCTGGCTGGCCCAAGTTATCATGGAAATTATTAGCTTCCTTAAGCATTTGTTGTACTCATCCAGAAATACAAGCTTGCCCTGTTTCAATCTGAAACACTGTGCACAGAAAGGAGAAAATTCCACGTAGTACCACAAACATCATGCTTGCAAGAAGGTGGTATGTTAATTAATAAGGTCTGGGAGCCACTGGTTTAACATATTAATGAATTTGTTATGCAGAGAGAGATGGAAAGATATATTTCGTTATTAGATTTTTGAATGTCTGATACTTTTCTTGTAATTATGTTCTATTTCATGTCTTTCTTACAAACACTCTAATAGTCTTTCTAATAGTATAATTGTGTTAAATAATTATTTCAGCAAAGGGAAGGAGAACTAAGGGAATATAGGCCAGATGGATGTATTCAGATCTTGAAATAGGAAGGACAGCTGTGGGGATAGACCCTGGAAGAGCAATCCTTTTATAACCAAGGACCTGCGGAGAGTGGGATCTGCTTAGAAACAAAGGAAGACATGAGGCAGCGGGTCAGAAGAGCCAGGAGAAAAGAACCGTGGTTTTCCCGAAGGGTTTTGAATGTGAAATTTTTTTGGTGTGTGAATCAGAGATGTGGCAGTGGGCTCTATGTCTGCGTGTCTTGGCTAATGCAAGGAGGAGAGAAGCTGCCGTTTTCACAGGCTGCAGTGAGAATAGTGGAGGTAACCTGGCTTGGGCTGATCCTGAACTGCTGCCAGCCCATCCTGGTGCTGCTCCAGGGCTGGTGAGACCAGAGCCATCTCTTCCCCCAAAGGGAAGACAGCGTTTCATGGAGCTAAGCACATTAGGAGGCATTTGCCCGCTCTGATATGGCCACTGATAGCCCTAACCAGCAGGACTGGTTGGACCACCCCTTGGGCAGAAGCCAACCTGTGGGTTGTTAAGTTGGACCACAGAGCTGCAGAAAGTGGAGAAGTTGTTAGTCAAGGGAATTGAGATAAGGGGAAGATGGGGATCGAAGTGCTTTCGGCACATAGTGCCTTAAGTGACGTGGGACAGCCCTCTTCCATGTCTGTGCCCAGGGCCAGGCTGACAGCACTGACGGACTCAATAGAAAAAATGAGGTTTCCAGAGCTGTATGGAGTACTTTAGCACTCAGCTTACATTAAAACTGACTGCTGGACATCTTTTGCTGGGTCCAGTGGCATTCTTCACAATATTAACCAAATGTGATTTTACATGAGCGATACCTGTGGAAATTTGAGCGTGAACTTAAATTCCTGTGTTAGAAGATTGCCCAGCTGTTTTCTAATGCACAGTCGCAGTGACTGGAGTAGAGAGATGTTCATTTTTTGAGTTTTCTTCACCTCAGAAAACCTTCAAGGGAAAAAAAGGGGGTAGAGGTTTGCAATTCTTCATTAGAGTCTATATTTTTGCATTAGTATAGCACTTAAAAACTTTAGTTATGTGTGAAGAAGAGACAAAGAATAGCAGACAGTGCTTCTTGGTGGAGTTCCCACAAGCTGGGAGAGCCTCGGGCTCTGATCCAGTGTCCAGTGTCCAGCTGGAGCAGAAGCCTACATTGGGGCAGTAAGCACACTGGGTATTTGACAAGAGTTTCAAGAGATGAAACTCTCTGTGCTGCACATAGACTCAGGGATTCAACCCCAAAACTTCCATAGTTATTTTTCAGCTGATTTGAGGACTGCCTGAAGCCACTTTGTGGCTTTCCACAAGGCTTCCTGCAAAAGGCTAAGGAAAACATCCTTATTCTTACCTATACTGAGGTCACTTAACTGCCCTACTTACAGAAAAGCTATGTACCATGTCCTTTATAACCCACTTAGCTTCTCTACACCAGTGTTGGCCACTGTAAGGAGCATACAGCCCAGAATAATTATACTTTATTCTGACGGATACACATACATAAATGGTTTGAGATAAGAATAGACATTCTTTACAGATTCCTTCTGGATGCATCAGGAAGAATCAGGGGCCAGATTCTGCCCTTAGTCCCTGCAGATAAATACTGATCTAGTTCCCTAAAATCAATACAATTACTCTGCACTTAGACAGTGTCAGATCAGAAGCTACAAAATCAAAACCAAACTCCATGAAGTCTAGTTTGGCAGTGCCAACAGCAAGCAGTAAAACCCTCTGTAGTTATTTAGAAGTGGTTCTCTGTCCCAGGCAAAAAAAAAGCAGCATTAAATCTGACTTTATAGCCCTGCAAGGTTAGATGCCAGTGCTTCCATTTCATTGAGAAGACAGTAAATTCTTCTTTCTAGTAGCACCGCGCTATTATTTCCTGAGTCATAAGATGCTGCTCCTTAAAATCCTTGCCAGTTCAAGATTACTTACTGAATCCTAATGGCTGTGGGTTCAAGATAAGCTGTACTAGGGGAGAACTTTATCCCTGGAGAAAGAAAGAGAAGACATTTCCCAAACCTAGCATCTGGTGGCATCTACAGAGCAGTTTGATGCATTAGAGGTGGCCCCTGGGGAGAAGGAGTAATATCATGCTTCTATTTTTGCATGAAATCAGGCTCAGCAGAGAGCATGATGATGCATGAATATCAGTGTGTGTCTGCTTTCTCACTGTCACTTCCTCAGAGTTAGGGGGGAGGCGAAGGATGGTGGTAACAAGAGGGATGCAAACAGCCCTCCACATTACCTATCAGGGCAGCAAGGGATCTTGCTTCATGCACTTTCAGATGGGCAGCTGCCAGCCAGTAATGTAACTCGTGCTGCTGCTGCTTTTTGCGGGGAGACAACTCCGTTTCCTCTAGCTGCTTGGCTTGATTTGGCAGTTTTTATTATAGCCCAACATATAGCGTGACAGTGTAGCTGATTCACTGCACCACGGCTAGGGTAAGGACTGCAATCACACTGTCTCAGGGGACACAGTGGCAGTACGAGAGTGTGAACTCCGGCTCTACTCCCAGCCTGACTTTTGGGACTTGAAAGAGAGAGATGTGCTACATTTTAAATATTCACACAAACACCCTTAGCTCCAGTGCTTAAGCTTTCAGGTATTTTAGGTCAGAGCTAGTCTTCTAAGCAGCTTGAAGCTGTGCTGCACCGTGCTGTAATCCTGACAATTTTTTCAACTAAATGTGCTTGAATCTAGTAATTTTCCCAATGGCTTACCTCCAAGAAAAATGGTGTCAATCATTTGGTAGGTTTCAGGGTTGGGTGTGAGTCAGCTCTGAGTCAGGCTGCAGCTCCAGCTCCACAAAGTGCTGGTCCTCCTGTGCTGGAATGATGTGTGGGGCTGCAGCCCTGCGACGGACACTGCTCCCGAGCCTCCCCCAGCAGCACCATGTGGGAATCCAGGCACTGGGCACTAGCAAAGCAAAGGGGCAAGCCCACAGCCCCACACTTCCAGCTATTCACAGGCTGTGAATCCCTCTTGGCCTCAGAAGATGGTGGGGTGCATAGATGATGCTGGCTCCAGGCAGGGATAAGAAGATGAGGACTCGTCTCGCCCCCTGCGGAGGGCCCTGTCTGACCAGGGTGTGGGCATGGCAAATTACTGCCATGCAAGCGCCTTCCCTCCCCAGAGCCAGGAGGAAGCAAGGAAGGAGTTTTGTCCAGAGACCTCTGTCCCTGGCACGGTGTTTCTGTTTATATTCACATTTACATTATGTAGGGTGGTGTCCCAGTCCTCAGGCAGTTGAAAGCAAAGACAGACGCAGTCTTGAAGGCAATAGTCACCGTACGCGTTCTGCAGAGTGGTGTGACTGACAGGTTCCTCGCTCTCTCTTTGTCTTTCTCTCCCCCTGCCCGGTGGTGTGATTGAAGCAACGCCCTGTGAAGCAGTCCCTGAGTGCCTGTATGTGCCGGGAGTCCCACTGGAAATGCCTCCTCCTCTCAATCCTCATGTATGGCTGCCTTGGTGCAGTGGCCTGGTGTCAGCTGGCCCGGGTCACCAAGCTCAGCTTCGATAGCTCCTTCAAGGGCAAGTCCATGATCTACCATGACAGCCCATGCTCAGACGGCTATGTCTATATTCCACTGGCCTTCCTCTCTATGCTGTACGTGGTGTACCTGGTAGAGTGCTGGCATTGCCACGTCAAGAGAGAGCTGCAGTACAAGGCAGATGTGGACAGCGTCTATGAATGCATCAACCGCATGCAGCAAGCCACTCCATGCATCTGGTGGAAGGCCATCAGCTACCACTTCGTGCGGAGAACCCGGCAGGTGACCCGGTACCGCAACGGTGATGCCTACACCACCACACAAGTCTACCACGAGAGGGTCAACACCCACGTGGCTGAGGCTGAGTTTGACTACTCTCACTGTGGATACAAGGACATCTCCAAGGAGCTCCTGGGCCTGGAGAGCTACACAGCCACCAAGCTGAGGTTCACCAAGTGCTTCAGCTTTGCCAATATTGAGTCTGAGAACTCTTACCTGACTCAGAGGGCTCACTTCTTCACAGAGATTGAGGGGCTGGATGACTACATGGAGGTGAGGGAAGGCATGCAGCTCAAAAATGTGGACTTCAAAGAGCTTATGATGGCCTACGGGGACCCGGATCACCTCCCATGGTATGTGTCCCACTATGCTTTCTGGGTGGCAGCTATCCTGATGATCTCGTGGCCGCTCAGGGTACTCATAGAGTATCGAACTGCTTATGTTCATTATCACGTGGAGAAGCTGCTGGGCCTGGAGTACACAGCGCCCACGGTGGCGGAGGAGCCCTTGTACCGGTACCGCATGCCCCGAGATGCCACGCAGGATAGCACCGAACTGGAGTGGCACATCTGCACCAACCGGCAGCTGATCCCCAGCTACTCGGAGGCCATGCTCATGGACCTGGCCAACTCCCCGGCCTACAACAGCTACACAGTGTGCCGCTATGGCGAAACAGCCCACGGCTGTGAACGCTGCAACCATGCCTCCAGCACCTCCTCCATCTTCTCACGCCACGCTTTCCACAGCTGCAGCGGCAACTCCCGCCTCTCCCTCAACACCAGCCGCTTCTCCCTCTGCCGCATCCACGGCTCCCACAGGACAGGCCTCTGGAGGAGCCGCAGCAGCAGCATTGCAGACCGGGGCTGCCACGACGAGCAGTGCTGCTCCTACTCCAGCCAGCTGGCTGTCAACGAAAACCCCCCAACCTACCATGATGCCCGCTTCTTCCCCGTCCTGATTGTGCACAGGCCGGAGGGGCATGGTGGGCGGCATTTCTATGTCAGGCGCTCCTCCTGTCTAGAAACCTCTCTGTGACAGGCCTCTATGATTTCTTGGCTCCTCAGCCCTGGGACAGGGGAGCCCGCAAGCATCAGTCTCCGCAGTGAGTCTGCAGGATGAGCTTCAGCTCTTCCTCCTGCCATTCCAAGAGGACATAGTCACTTTGACCAACAGTTAACCTCATTTCCAAGAGCTTCTCCCTGTCCTTCAACTCGTCTCCCTAGTCATTTGTTCCCCTCTTCCTTTTGATCTTTCACTCCTCACCCTTTCTCTGCTCCTTGGTTCCCTACCTCTCCTCCCATCCCAGCATCAGTCTTTTTTTTATGTTTCAGTCACAGCATTTGACCGCTGTTGCTGCTGGAGGATTTATAAAGCCTGTGCTTTGCAGTGTATTTGCCCTCTTGGATACCCTGCAAGGTAAGAAACTCAAATAGAGCAAGGTGAAAGGCATGCAGCCAGCCAGAGTCAAGTCAGAAGGAGATTTCGGATCTGCAGGCAGTGAGTCACCTCCTGCAAACCCCAAACAATGCACTTTTTGTATTTATTTTATTTTCATCAGCCTTTTTGCTTGTTCTTCTGTCATTTATTTTCTCTCTTCTTCATGTTCTCCTCCTCTTGCTTTACCCTCATCTTCCTTTTTTTCAGTTTTCTCACTTCTGCTTTCCAGTTTTTCTGGCTTTTGCTGGTGAGGATGTCTTTCAGGGTGTAATTGCCTTCCACTGGGCAAAAATAAGGTATTTGCAGCACAAATGTCACTGACTGCTGAGGCAACCACGGGCTATGCCCCTGAGAAGTGCTGAGGACTTTCTTTCCCAAGCAGTGACGTAAACCAATAAAGCAAAAAGCCCTTTGGTCACCTTGCCCTGCCTGGTCTGCAGCAGAGCCGCTGCTGTGTTTTGAGATTTAGTTAACCTTGTCCAGCTCCACTCCTGTTAGCAATTGTTGAGAGCCGTAATGTAGATCAGTGCCGTGTTAGTGCCACTTTTTTTAGGATTGTGGGTCTGGTTTGTGGTTGTTTCATCCCTACCACTTGCTCAGAGCAACACGGGCTGGAGAAGAGGAGAGGGGCTGAAAAGGAAAAGGTAAATATGGTATTAACTCTCCCACTGATAGTCTTGAGTTGTTAGGAAGCTCTTCCACCCACAGCATCTATTAGAGCCGTTGCAGGACTGCTCTACATTACCCTCAGTTTTCCGTGTGCCCTGGGGAGGGGTTTTGGCCCATAGCCCGCTGCCGCCTTCCCACCTTCCAAGGCAGGATCCAGTCCCACCCCAGCCCTGGGCAGGGAGCACAGCTGGAAGCCAGCCCCACCAGCCGCTCCTGCCAGCGTTACAGGCCCTTCCCACAAGGCTTCCCCAGGAGCAAGTGCAGCACCTTCCAAAAACTATCAGATTAGTCCCAGCAGTGCCAAACCCAGAACATGTCTGGTCCTGGTGGAGTGGACTGCTGCACTCTGGGCTGTGGGCTGCCCTCGTGGCCTGGCCAGAGACAATCCCAAGAGCCAGAGACCAACCCACACTGAGGACCTGCCAGGGACATCCCACCTGCCAAACCTCCATCCCACAAGGGATGGTCATATGCTGAGCAAGCTCTGTCGCATTTTGTCATGTGGATGGCAGAGATTATTATTCACCGTAACTCACAGGAGAATGCAATACAATCGCAATACAATCACTTTAAAAAACAAATTGTTGTCACTCCCTACAGCAAATAAGTAAGAAACAGAGCCCCCAGAAGGGCTGGCAACAAATGCTTCCTCCCAAGTCCGTTCTGTGTGTATCTACATGTAATATGAGATTGTAAAGTCATATTAGTATGTGTAGATTCTATATAACTCTGCATACTTATATGGTGATTTCTTATGGCATTGACTGTTGCACCATGTTAAATACATTTTGTTTTGGTTTGATGACTCTGTTAGATGTGCTGTGTTTATTTCAGCTCCAGAAATAGAAACACTGGCAATAACTGGCTAACCTGCTGCAAATGATGGCACCATCAGAAAGGTTGTTTAAATTCGTGCGAGTAGATCTTTTTTAATATAAATATGTATGATTTCTGTGACATTTTCATTCTGACAGCTTGGCATTTATCACAAAAGATAGATAACACATATGATGTGTTAGTTTATCACCTCTAAAAAAGAATAACCACCCCAGACACATAGAGGAACCAGGTTTGGGCTCAGGGTAATGATTACAGTTGGGCTGGGGCCAAGCTAGATAACACTGAAAGTTGGAGAAAAATCCAAACTTGGATCCACCCTACAGTGACCCAGTCCTAGTCCCCCATCTACACCGTGCCACCTACCACCCCCAGGCAGAGCTGGGAGAGTTTGGGAACTAGGAAAGGATCAGGCCTGAACTCAAAGCTCAGACTGATTTACTCGTATTGTGAAGACAAAGTAAATGCAAGTCTTTAATACCGTTCCCTGTCCTTATCTTAATTCATACAGAAAGTTAGAGCCAGCACATATGGAAGATGTAAGAGCTGGAGGAGGCTGAAACGTCGCAAAACAGAGAGGCTGGGATATTTCAACACAGTTTCTTACTGATGGAGGTGGTAGGGAGAAAGACAAGAAAAGAGAAAGGAAGAGATGGCAGAATAGTATAAATTAAGAGAGACCAGAGTTCAGCTGCAGCTAAGATAATTCCCAAATGAGCAGTATAACTCAGTTATGGCAAGCTTAGCCCAGACACAGGCAGGATGAGTTTCAGCCGTCTTGTGTAGCTGTTGCAGCCACCTGTGGCTTTAAATACCATGTCCAAGGTCTTGGCACAGCCAGTTTGGTCCCATATGTATTCCAAGATGGAAAGTTATATTTGGGTCCTCAGAAGCGGCCACGTTACGCAGTATGACTTGAACAAGCTCTGGCAATCCCATTATTTGGTAGACAGTTTATGCCCATTTTAACCTTTTCAGTGTCCTCAAAAGCCACTGTAATATCCAGCATCTCTCAAGCTGTGTCCTTGTCAGGGTTTGGGAAGCCCAGAGGGTTTCTGATTCCTCAGTCCTTGTGTTCTGGTCCAACTTTGGGGCCTTTACTTGAGAAGCCATCCGTAAGCTGCAAAAGCCCTCACACACATGGGGCTCCCTCCTAGATGCTTGCTGTAGCCTCTGGTGGTGACTGAAAAGCTGGGAGCAGCTGCTGTTCTCACCTGGGGCTGAATATTCTGGTTTTAACAGATCACCCACTCAGGAAGCACCTGTACAGCCATCCTGGGTCTCCTACATTGTAGAGCAGAGCCACTCCTGCGAGCCTTGAATGCCACTTTTGCCATTGCCGCAGCTTTCTGATGCAGGATGAGGGATCTGTCCCCTAGCAATGGAGGGGATAATGCTGCTCTTCAAAACCCAGATCAGAGGATGGAGTGGACAGGTGCTCGAATCTGAATGCAAACCAGGTAGCTCTATGGAAAACACCTTGTACAAAACATAGGGATTTTGTATCCAATTGCAGACTGCTTCGACAACAAAGTAGTGGCTTTTGCGGAACTTTTAGGGCTTATGGCTTCTCATGCAGAAATTAGTGCTTTGGAGTGTTTTATCAAGATAACCCATCCTTGTCCTGTTGGTTCTCAACATTAGAAGAAGCTGAACAGCAGTGGAAGATGAGGAAGTCCAGCAAATACTACTCTCCCTCCTGCCTCTTCTCTCCCCTCCTGCACTCCCAACCTCCCTCTCTCTCTTCCCTTCCTCCTCTCTCTTTTCCCCTTGTCTTCAGAAGTGTCCCAGCACTGGAAATTCACCTTTTGATCATTGTGCAGCTCTTCAGGCATTTTCTAGAACACGCCTACACCACCCAGCAAGTCCAGTGAGATGTGGCAACACGCTATCGCAACAGGAAAAAGTGAGGAAAGGACATAAGCCAGGAAGGCACCAACTTACAAGCTGCTTTGCTGTGTCCTGTGCATGTGAGCAGTGAGCACTGCCACTGGTGTTATGGCCTGTAGAACAAAGCCACATTGCTTAATTCAGTGGCATGAGAGACTGGGAGAATTTATTTGTCTTCAGTTCCTAAAAACATTTCAGAATGATCCCTTTGATTTCTGCATGGTAATATCGCACTCCTCCATAAGTTTTCCCACAGCAGTTTGCACTCCAATTGGCAACGCATGCAGGATTTCAGTCCAATTTTCGTATGGCTCTTTCTGCCTATCACTGTTGACACAAAGCCCTTCTCAGAAGAGATGAAGCCAGATCCCCTGCTGGGGAAAATTCCCTTTGGTCTGCTGCTTCCAGCACAGCTTTGCTCTCTTACACCAGCTTCCCATCCCATACTCCTCGTCACAAATGAAAGCTCCTTTTCCCTTCTCCTTCCACTTCTCAAAGCCTCTGGGAGCATTGCATATGACATTTGGATGAAGCATGATGTGCCCGTTGAGGTAGAGACATGCTCTGGGCATGCAATATAGAGTCAAGCCTCCCTTGGCCACTGCGTCCCCAGATGGACTTGGCCAAGGCACGCACTTGCCTGTGCCTCCTCTCCTGCATGTGCACCAGAGCCTTTCCTGAGCCCACAGGGCCAGTGTAATCTCATAAGCCTCTGTAACTGTAAGGCTGGAAGAAGTCTTTAGAAGGAAAATGCTGTAGAAACACAGCGTTATTCTAACGGCCGTTACTTTTTCTCATGAGACAACTAAAATCTGCAAAAGCGTCTACTTTCTGGAAGGCACTATCGTGATGAGTAAGTGCAGAAACATGCCATGCAGTCGGATAAATGGGTATATATGGATACACGAGGGAGAGAGCGCAGCGACAGCAAGTGTGCTTGAAGCTTTTAGCAGACATGAGCACAGAACCTCTCAGCCCAGGAGCCATCGTGATCCCAGCGAGAGGCATGTCACAGTTTCCTGTCCCTGAGAGCACCCAGGCTTCCTGCAAGCTCTCAGGTGAATGGCTTGTCAGTGTCTTCTCTGGGCCACCTCATTGAGGCAGGAGGCACTGGGGAGTGCGATTTCCATTCCAGTAATGAAATCCTCCTGGCATTGCTCCAGTCCCCTAGGAATTCCTATCAGAAATGCAAATAACTGATG